GTTGTTTAGCTTAGAGAAGAGGAGGCTGAGGGGAGACCTTATCGCTCTCTACAACTACCTGAAAGGAGGGTGTAGTGAGGTGGGTGTTGGTCTCTTCTCCCATGTAGTTAGCGATAGGGCGAGAGGAAATGGGCTCAAGCTGCGCCAGGGGAGGTTTAGGTTGGATATTAGGAAAAATTTCTTTACGGAAAGGGTGGTCAAGAATTGCAACAGGCTGCCCAGAGAGGTGGTGGAGTCACCATCCCTGGAAGTGTTCAAAAAACGGGTAGATGTGGCACTTCGGGACATGGTTTAGTCTAGTCTACCCTTGATTGGTTTAGAGTGGACTTGGTAGTGTAGGTTAATGGTTGGACTGGATGATCTTGGAGGTCTTTTCCAACCTAAACGATTCTATGATTCTATGATTAAAATGCATAGAAAAGTAGAAGCAATACCAATTTTCAGCTTTAACGTTCTCCTGCCAATGGAAAGATAAATACCATTCTCAGTATCCTGCCTCACAAAATTTGATGATGCAACCACAGATTAGGTAAAAAAACCCAAACCAAAACAGACTGTTGTAGGCTTCTCAATTAATTTGCACACTTTCCAGAGTATGTCTCCTTAATTTGCAGACACCACAATAGTTTCATACTGTACAGCAGTTTACTTTCTGATTTGATACAGTGGAAAAAGAGTGCTGACATGTTAACTGTGCTGTAAAGGAGGTGGCAAGGAGCATTTTAATTTCATCTGAAAATCTGTCAGGACAGTTCTGTCATCATAAACCTACCTCCCTTCCTTTTTCATAGTACCACGTACAATGCAATGTGAAAACCTTCCAGTTGAAGAGGATTAATACTGACATTTGAATTTTTCCAATGTGTAAGTAGTATCAGGTTTAATAACAGCCATACACGTCATCCTTTATGTTGTATGACATCTAGAACAAATTTACAGAACCCTTGTTCTCCCAACAGTTCAACACACCAGTGGAGGCAAAAAAGTAGGAATGAAAAATACTTACAGGAGCAAAGACAGTCCAAGAAAGAGCAGAAGAGAAGGCATTTCGTCTACCATGCCTACTGTTTAGATTAATAGGAAGAGACCAGATAACTGGAACGGAAAATGGCTGCTTCAGCGACCTTTAGTGTGCACAATGCCATCCCTGAAAATGAATCTTGGAGCAGGCAACTGACAGCCAGTTGAGAGAGAAGCAAAGTCTATGGTAAGACTTACAATTCTGGGCTTTTTAGATCAGTTTGACCTCAATTTGCATCTATTTATCATTCTATTCCTTTAATTAGATTAATGTGTCTTTCATGGCACACCGTAGGTGTTACAGACTGGCTTCTTTAAACACATTTGAAATGTTAATTAAAAATGCTAACAGCTATGCACAGTAATGAGAAAGTGTAGTACCATGAGATTGATGAAATTCATCTAGAAGAAGTATTTTATATAGCAACAAAATCCCGAGCAACTGTGAAATAGCTCTTTTCTGTCAACACGCACTTAACAAAGGCTTTAGATGATCTTTACTAGAGAAAGACTATTCTTAGCTGTTTAAAAATGACAGTAGAACAGCCTGATCCCCCTCTAATGGGAGAAAAGTCTTCCAGCATCTCAATGGCCTGAAAGTTTAGTTTGATGATAAAAGCAACATAGTTATTTTTAGCACTCTACAGGCATGAAAATACAGCTCTAAACTGTGACCTACAGCTATGCACAGCCAAACATCACATCATACGACAGCCTTAACTTTAGCTAGAAGCACGTCTGTAGTTGCTTCAGACTATCATTATTCATCTCACCACCAACAATACCTTTGGATGGATTTAGCAACAAGCATTTGAAATTGTTACCATCTTTTTTTAAATTGCTGCCATCGGCAGAACTCAATTCAAAGGTAGGAGATCTTAATGGACTTTGTAGAAAGTATTTGAGAGACCATGTTAGGTTAAATGGATTACTACTTCTCTCTGGTACAGAGGATGAAAAAGAACCTTAAAAGCAGCTTAAACTGTCATATTCAGCACAGAAAGTCATTTTTCTAAGCACAGTTTGAGTAAATGAAAAAAAAAAAAAGAAAAAAAGAAAAGAAAAAAGAAAAAAACCGTTGTTTTCTTCCAGCAGTAGTAACAGCCTGGAAACAGGATATGCTAGAATAAGAGAGCTTCAAGCAAACTCACCTGAAACAACACTGTTCACAGATAACTGCAAAGGTAATTTATGTCATTTTATTTCAATTAGTATGCTTGTGACTGCATGATTTGTAAAAAACTGCAATTTAAAAGCCTATTCCACCACATTCCTGTTCCCTGATTATATAAACAAGAATTTATTTAAAATAAAAATTTATACAGAAGTTTTATAAACAGACAACTTGGAATTCCAGCACTTAACTTTCTAAATGTACGGGTTAATTCCGATTTTGGAGGTTTGGGGCTTTGTGTTTTGTTGGGGTTTTTTTTGTTGTTTTTTTTTTTTTTTTGGGGGGGGGGAGGTTCTTTTTTTTTTGGGTTGGGGGGTTTTGGGGTTTTTGGTTGGTTGGTTGGTTGGTTTTGGCTTGGGTTTTTTTTGTTTGTTTCCCACCCCACCCTAAATCATATAAACTATCAGGATAAAAAATGAAGTATTTCCAAGATGATAGATACGCACTTTCAAATGCTGTAAATGTCATATAGTTATGCTAATTCAGAAAACAGACAGAAAATATTATAAAATGTAAGCCTTGTCAGATTTAATTATGGCTTGGCAATTATTGTTAATACTACTTATATTGTACTGCAAAATACTGTAGACTCTATTAATTAATAGTTTCCCTTTAAACATTCAGCTGCTAAGAAGGAAGCTTATAGGTATAAATACTATCAGTCAGACAGAAATAAGCAATTTTTTTTTTCCCCTCTCCCCTCACAGCTTAAAAATGCCACTTTTTGGCTGGATGAAATGGTCAAAAAATGATTCCTACAAACCCACAAGATATCCTGGATCAGAAGTAGTTACAAAAACCCTACTGAGGGAATTGAAATGGCACCTGAAAGAGCGTGAAAGATTAGTGCAAGAGATTGAAAATGAACAAAAAGTCCAGAAGACTGGCATGGATTACAACTGGCTGAAAAACTACCAAAACCCTCAAGCAACAATTCCAGCTACTGAGCAACGGCAGCTCGAAGTTCTGTGTTCGCAAATCCAGCCTTGCCAAACAGGAACTGTTCTCAGCAGGTAATTGTTTCATACTTCTCTAAACTCTGAATACTCTATCACAAGTAAAATGTTTCTTCTACCTAATCCAAGCTTATATTTGGCTCTTTCTGCCAAAGTAACAACGACCAGCAACTGGCACACATTTTTACAGATGTTTTAGAAATTACATCTTTAACACGTTGTACTTGAATGAAGTTTTTAATCAGGATTTTCCTTGTCTAATCCAAAACAAGGGAAGTCTCACATGCTTAAACATGTGACTTTCCCATACTTTCAGTTTTTGCTGTTATTTATCCACAATATGTATATTAAATAGTAACCCAATAACCAAAAATCAAATTAAAGCACTAATGCAATGCAGTGTTACGCAGAAACCCCAAATACCTGAAAGCTTCTGAAAGTAGCAAATCAGTGTCAAAAAAAAAAATCCAATTTTTTTAAAAACAAACACACACCACCCCCACCCACTTTAGAAAGAAAAATTCTCCTATGCCTGCATTTTAAATACATTTTCTATGGACACGCAGAAATGACAGAACAAGCCTACGTGCCTTTTAAAACCCAGAATATACCTAAGGCTAAAGTCAGTTTAAATCAAGTTACCCAGATGCGCAAAAAAAACCCCCACCCAAACCAATCACAAAACCCAAAAAACCCCAAACCAACCACAAAAAAACCAAACAAAAGCATACCCAATAACAATAGCTTTCAACCTTTATAATAGCTGGACCACATCCAGCGCATTGTTAGAGCTCTTTTCCTCTTACAATCTTTTTGGGGAGGTGTGTGGGGAAACGTGGCAGCAAAAAATAAATGACACCAGAATGCAGTCATTTCCTCCTCCTTCCCCTCCCCTCAAAAGAGCAGAAAGGAAACAGAAGAGTTTTCAGTGCTGATGATTAGATTTCAATCTTTGTTTGTTTCTAGATTTCGTGAAGTTTTGGCAGAAAATGATGTTTTACCTTGGGAAATAGTCTACATATTCAAGCAAGTTTTAAAAGATTTTCTTACTACCATTGAGAGAGAAAACCAACAAGACCAACTGGTAGATGCATGGAATACAAATTGCTCTGAACATTTCAGCCTGCGTGGAGACAGTTCTAACAAATCGGACAGAGACGAAATCCCCACGGTTTCAAGTTATGTCGACAAAAACACACGAAGCATGTTTCCCACCGTCTCTCATAGAATCTGGAATCTACCCTATTACTACCCATCAAGTTAAGTTGTTTGTGTTTCTTTCAAAAAGCTATGCAGCTGTTTGCATTCCTTTCTTGTGATTGCCATTCACAAACATAGGAATAAGAAATGTGACATTGTCCCCTTTTTCCAAGCTCAGAAATTAAAATCCTTGATTATAGCTAGTATGCAGTATACAAACTTTAAATATGAACTCTCCTCTTACCTTCACAGTTCCTTAAAGATGTTGTGTTTGAAGGCACCTTTTAACCAAAAATGTAGATCTTTCTGAAAAAGCTCTGAAGCATTTTATTTTTTAGCCATATACAGCTAGATGTATTTAAACAAGAAAAGTCTGCTTTCCATGTTTTGAAATAGCATCAATCCACAAAGTGATAGGCAAAAACTTCTGTATTTGCCACATAGCTTTTAGGCTCTATGGGAACTTTATACTGTGTAAGATAAATGGTTTAATGTAATAGCAATTATACCAAATAAACTGATAATACTTTTTGGAGCTGAACAGTTATTTCTTAATTTCAAGAATAAGTTCTAAAATGAAAACAATGTCAGAAGTTGTAACAGGCTGCATGTACTGTTTCTATGTTTTTTCCAAACTGTACTCTGCACATGCTGAAATACTGTGAAGGTAGACAACTAAATGAAAACATTGCATATTTAATGACATTTAACAACTAGCTCTCTATTCTTTAAGAAATTAATCAATTATTTAATTTCAAATAGTTGTACTTCATTTGACTTACTGGATGTTATCCTGAAACCCAGACTCTACATTAAACCTAAACATTTTGATCAAATCAGACAGTACTTTCCTAGAATAGCAAAAGAGTCAACAGATCACTTGCAAAGCAAGAGGTGATCATTTTAAATTTAACAAAATTTCACTTTTTTCAGTTGCTATCATCTATCATTGTGGGTTCATGATAAAGTTTTACAAGACTGATTGGATATGTAGCAGTTACAGTCACAGCAGACAATTAGAGCAGAAAATCAATGAAAACATATGCCAGAACTCAGTTTGCTACATTTCCAATTGGGCTCCCATCACCGTATGTAAACAATTTTTACATGTCTTTTATGTAACCTCTTCATCTCCAGATTTGCTTTTAATCTGTCTGCCACATCATATAAAAAAAAACGGGCAAGACTCACATGGCCCAATTCACAAAATGCACTATTTTGCAAACACAGAGGAAAACTGCTTCCTCTGGTATTTTCTTCAAACATACTGAAGATGATATTCAGATTTCCTGAAGTTGGTAACATACAACTGAAAGGTATTTCCTTATGCTCCACAGCTATATCCCCCACCCAAGAAAGAATTTACTAATAATGCAACATAAATTGGGTGAAACAAATGGCACAGTATTTTCATAAAAGATAAAAATACTATTTTAAGAAACCTTTGGAAAACTTACAATCTAGAGAACATTTCATGCAGGGTAGTGGAACATATAATATACGCAGAAGGTGAAACAATCGTAACTCTTGCATATACCTAACTGACAAAGCACTAGAGGAGTAAATCAGTTCCTACAGGCTTAGAATAATAAAAAATTGCAGCTCAACACCAGAAGTAACCAGTCCCTGCGCTTTCCATAAACTAAACACACAAAACTTCACAAGCATGTGCAAGCTCATTATATCTGCACTCAAAGCTGGTATAAACTCTTTGCCCTCCTTTTGTGCAGCTGTCGGTTTGTGGATAAATAACAAAAGTGTTGCTCTCTACTTACTCTGCCCTACTGAAGCAGAATAAAGAGTATCAGATTCTTTTCATGCAGTTCTAAACAGTCCAGACATGGATCCCTGCATGAGGGCAGGATGGTTTGAAAAAAAGTTTTTTCCTCACTGATAAAGCTCCCCAAAGACTTAAACTTCAAGTACCTTTTCCGTAAGAAAGAAGGTAAGAGGTACTGAGCACATGAAAGGCATTAGCAGAATTAATATTACATTGAGAATTAATGTCCACAACGCTGGTTTCAGAAAATAGTTTTTATTTGGTCAAATGTGCAAGATTCCTGCAACGGTAATTCACATAAATTAGTTTCTTAAAACTGTACCTTCACAGCTTTCTATTAGAAAATAGGTGAATAAAGCCCTGAAAATTTAGCTTCCAAATTTTAGTTTATAGAAAATGGTAGGCCAGTGAACATGCAAGGTCCACGTACCTTTATGATCATCAAAAACAGGTAGGGAAAAGAAAACAAAACCAAACCCACAAGATGACCACCGATACAACTTAACCATTCTTCACAAATTTCACTTTAGTATAAGCAAATGCAGTCTTCTAAGTCCAGAAACAAGGACCATCAACATATGCTAAAAGGCAGTCACTGAATAAAAGTTAAAAAAAAAATTATCTAAGCATCATAGCCAATTCAATGTTAAATCCCAATGCAATGCTAGGGAAATGCACAAAAAGGCTTACCTACTTTTATATGCATGTTTTATTGATGAAACTGATACCAGGCTACTGCATCCAGTTCCAATGTCCACGCTCAGAGAGGAAAGGAGAGGGAGAAACCAAAATGGGAACTGGAGAGGGCACAGAAAAAAAATTATCCAAAGGCTGAGAAAATGCCATCCGCTAAGACCACACTTCATCCATTTTTTCAAAAACAGAAATGAGAAGTAATTTTATGGAACACGAGCACTTTCATCTAATGAAAGCATTATGTACATTCTCTCTAGTTAAAAAGCAGAGAAAAGCACAGAAAAAGCAAAGGTGTAAGAGCAAGAAGACAAACTAAAAAAGTTAAACACGTTTTAAAGAAATCGGCTAGGTTTACCACAACATGCTACTAAGAGAATCCGTACCTCAGTCCGCCAGCTAAGACAAGCTGTTTTCTGGAATTTAGCTTGCACTTAGATTTCAGCTATATCAGATAGCAGTAACATGCTGTAGGCCAGCCATCATTTCCCCGCTGAAGATTACTGTGTGAAAACTCAACTGTTTCTTTAAGCACTTTTATTTATGGCCTACATGATTTGCATGAGGTGATCTGAAACTATAGTTCTTTACATTAACACAGGTGATATTTCTGACACAGGCAGGCAGCTGACACAAACCACTCCGGTGACAGAAAAGCAAGCGGTAATAATTTCAAAGGGCAGCAATGTCTCCCACCTGCACAGGTGTCAGGCAGAACAGAGTGCAATGTTTTTAGCCAAATAAGCTGGCTATAAAAAAGGGCTAAACTTGGTGAAAGCTACACCTATGAAATACAAGAAATCAAAGAGAGAATAACCATCTTTTCCACACTTAAGCCTTTAAGTGTTTTAACGTGAACCACAATTGTTTTGATAACAAGGAAGGAATTAAGGGTCTAAATTTCTTTTCATTCAGTTGAAAATAATCAGAGGAATTAAAAAGTTAATCAAAGAGCTATTTAAGGATCAAAATTCCAACCACAATTTCTGAGAACTATTATCTTTCCCTAACAAGCTCAATTACTAATATTGCTATTCTAGAGGTAGTTCAGAGAACAAGATAATCTTAAAAGCCTTGGAAAATGAGGCATCATTGGTAAAAGAAGAGAACACATTCTGCATCTCTTCTTAAGGGAGCTGTGAGGCTTTTAGATCCCATTGGACAGTCTCAGTAACATTTTTGTAAAATATTAGTTATTACACACACTTGTGTGCAATAACACACCTGTCATTACCGTTACCAATTTGGTATTAATCCTACACATTCTTACATACAAACTTAGACAAAAGAAGTAGGAAGACAGTCTCCCTCAATAATAATATATCTGGCTTGAAATATTGAAGAATTTGAAGTAATTTTGGTTTTGATTTTCCCAAGGAAGAAGTCAAGAGCTGAAGTTAGTATTAAAATAGACTGTTATGCTACAAACAGCCTCAACAGAGAGAAATTCTTCTGTTTTCAGCTCTTCAAACTCTTTAAGAGCCAGTGAATAAAATCTAAGCATTTCCTACTTGAATCTAAACCTTTTAAAGATTCTTCAAGTTTACAAAAACTCTCCAGATGCAAGCACATTCCCAGAACTGTGAAACAGAAGCATGTATGGAAATAAGACACAGCTAAGCAAACACACCTTCTTACAGAGCTTTTCATTTTGCAGCAGCACATACACGCACCTATTGTCTCTGCTCAAAGATTTCATACATATCTAATTCTGTCCACACTACATAAATGGCTATTTAGGATGCATATCCCCTCTCCTCAGACTGGAAAGAAAAACCAAACAAACCACAACCCCCACACAACCACTGCAAAAATAACTTCTCTCTCAATGCAACTGTCAAACCCCACAATAAGGGTATCTGCTAAGCCTTTTGGGTGTAAAGAACTATCTGTTTAACCAAAAGATTTGCCTCTGCCTAGGCACAAAAGGCCTAATGAATCTTGCTAATTTCTTCTGTGTTACTTAGTAGATGTCAGTGGCTTAGTCCTCAGTTGGGTTTAAGAATCTCTAGTCAAACCCTTCCCAAGCACTACAGAAATGTAATTGGCACCTAAATAAAGAACTGAGAAGTCCCAGACACCTCGTGCATACTGGGTTTAGGCATTACATTCACAGTAAATAAGCTTAAAAATCTACAAAATTCTGTCCAGTCACTTCTGGAAAACTTTTAACTACTTGCACAAGACCCAGTAGTTCTCAGTCAGAGATACAGAGCTTGCTAATGGCAGCACTTTCACGTTAAAGGATGAGATGGGATAGATACTTTGACATACCAGTTGTGTCCTTTCCTTGAAGCAAAGACAGAAACTGATAGCCTGAACAGTCTTTGCTCAACTGTCAGAATATCTGCTGTTAAGATGTTAGGTGAAAGGTTCATTCTTTCTCAGGAGCCAATGCACACCCTTTAAGAGAGTTCCTGAAACACAGCAACCCATACTGCTGTAAGACACTCACTCTAGACTGTACCTCCAGCTAATTTTGAAAAAGACTTTAGTACATGAAAGTGCATACAAAACACTTTTCTATAGCCACCACGGATACACTAACCAAACCTGATCTAAATACTAAGATTACTATGCACTGCCACAACACCTTCCAGTTTAGGCAGCATCCAGGGGAAAGTCTTCCCCACCCCCCAATATCCAGACACTAGTGTAAACCAAATGTACCTGGCTGCTGTGCAAATATACGTAACAGTTCTCCTCCTTGGCTGTAAACTCTGCCATCTGAGAGTAAAGCGCATCCA